ATTAGGGAATATTTTCATCATCTCAAATGAGTTGAACACTCTACAGTGTCCCATCAGAGACAGACTGCTGGTTCTTCACATATTTAGACAAGAACTCAGGTCTGGGAGAAATATATGTCCAGGACAATTGGCCCTGAGCTAGTATTACCCCTAAAAACTGGCTTTACAATTGTCTCCTGAGTGGATGTTGGAAACTTATAGAAGCACTTCATCTGATTTAGAAAAATGAAATCTGTAGCTCTTCCTCTGGTTGCAATCATCTTTCTTTAATTAATTTCCTTTACAATCTGCTTGAATTCTTTGTTCCTTTAATACTTCTTTTGTTTTGTAAACTCTAATGATATATTGGGAGTGGGGGGTACAAAGGATTTAACCCAGAGGTGCTTTACCCCTGAGCCACATCCCCAGCACCTTTATTATTTTTTTTAAATGATACAATATGGGTTTTGTTGTTGTTTGACACAATACATTGATTGATTAATTGATTGGTTTTTATATAGTGTTGAGGATTGAACCCAGTGCTTCACACAGGCTAGGCAAGCACTCTACCAATGAGTTACAACCTTAGCGCCCCTTTTATTTTATTTTGAGACAAGGTCTCACTAAGTTACTTAGGGCCTCGCTAGATTGCTGAGGCTGGCTTTGAACTTGTGATCTTTTTGCCTCAGCCTCCCAAGTCACTGGGATTACAGGTTTGTGCCACCATGCCCAACTCTAAATGATATTTTGATGATCACCACTTAGATTCTGAATAGTTCACATACCTTGTATTCAAATTTAAAACTACAACAACAAAAAAATCACTGTGGGATTTTTTTTAAGTTGTAGATGAACCCAATATCTTTATTTTTATTTATCTATTTTTAATGGGGTTCTGAGGATCAAACTCGGGGCCTCACACATGTGAGGCAAGCACTCTACCACTGAGCCACAACCCCAGCCCCGCTGTGGGATTCTTAACTGAGCAATTTAATTTGGGGATGCCAGCCCCAGGATAAATTGTTTTCAAAATTGTATAGATGAGTTAATTGCTCTATGTTTTTTAGCTATAAACCATTTAAATGCCAGTGAGTGCTACACCCCATGTGACACCTTTGGATTGGGAAGACTGAATATGAAGCCATTGTTTCTTCTGGTTCCTAACAATAAAATAATTAGTGATATAGCAGTGACTTGTGGATCTGTTTCCAAAAATGATCATAAGCCATTAATATACAGCTAAAAGAAAAGCATAGGGAAGTACAGAACACATTTTTGTTTTGATCCTATCGAAATTATTTTTAAATTCATCAGGAATTCATTTCTACCAATCTTGATTTTTTTTTTTTTTTAGGGGGAGTGGGAGAAAGAAAAAAAGAAGAAGAAAGTGTTAAAAAAGGAAGGAAGGGTAGAAGCAAAAAAGGAAGGAAAGACGGATTTTGTATTAGTAATAATTAGGAAGATTTTCTCAACAAGGTGAAACAGATGGAGTGGTCAAAATAAAATTTGCTACCAAATCTTTTCTGCTCCTTTATAGGCCCAGTAGTTCAATTTATCCGGGAAGAAATTGGTATTCATTCTCAAAAGTATATGTTGGTAGACTGATAGGTTTCTAGTTTTAAAGTAATATAGTGTTTCTTTTTTTATTTTATTTTTTGGTACTGGGGATCAAGCTAAGGGCACTTTACCACTGAGCTACATTCCCAGTCCTATTTATTTTTTATTTTAAGATAGGATCTCACTAAGTTGCTGAGGGTCTTGCTGAATTGCTCAAGTTGACCTGGAACTTGAAGTTCTCCTGCCTCAGCCTTCTGCATTGCTGAAATTACAGCATACGCCACCAAACCCAGCTATGTTTCTTTTTTTAAAATGAGAATTCCATTTCTGTAGGTCCAACCAAATGGAAGCATGCCTCTGTTCAGTTCATCTGGGTGCCAGGAAGCACACAATGCTCCATTAGTCATGGAGTTTTAAAGTCACAGATAAAAAAATGAGGGAGTTAGGAGACAGCCTTACAGCCAGGCCTCATGTAAAACACTCTTCAGAGTATCCCAAATATGGTGGCATGCAGTTATGGAGACAGTGGCTAACTCCTTGGAAGTGGTCTTTCAACCATTTCTACTTGCTTGTCTTCTATTACCTTGGTGTATGAAGTGGCACAAGAAAGCTTCTGGGTATCAGCAGAGGCTGGGGTTTCATGACTTTGCTCACCACAGGGTATAAGAACAACATGGCCTCAGGATCTGTCTTAATTGCTGGATATACAAGTCCACATGGGATTATTCATCTTAAATAGTTTCCTGTTAGAGATAATTTTATGAAAGTGTTTACTTAGAAATAGCCTTCAGATTTTTTTTCTTCCTAATGTTGTCCTGCCAGGATCTGTACTATCAAAAGTCCTTTTCAAATAAAGCAAAAGAATAACACTTCAGGAAACAATATTCTTATTTCTTGCCTATTTTTTTTTAAGGAAGTAGTGGTGGCCTAAATGCATTGTTACAAAGACATTCACTTGGAAGTAGGATGAGATTATCATGCTGCTGTTAATTATGGCCTCTTTATAAACTTTAAATTATAGCCATTTACTTAAGCACTACCAAAATTTATTGGATAACAGAAAGTTATCTAGCTATGGTGTTCAGCCTCTTTTTAAAATTCCCTTGATTCAGAAACTGATAGCCAGAGGTGATTATGATATTAAGGTCCAGTTTTCCTCAGATATGCCCAATGACAAGAGTGGGACTGCAAGAGGACATATTTTTAGATATGTATACAGAGTATTTTTAACATTTTTAATGGAATGTGGGATCTACGCTAAAAGACAATCTTAGATGTTAAATTATGACTGGATAGATAGAACTGCAGAGAGATTTACCTCCCCAGAAGTATGTGGTGACATCTTAAGGAGATGAGGGAGCAGGAGGAATGAGATGATGGAGCTCCCTGCAGGCACTGCCAGGGCTGTAAAATTGGAGTCACTTGCCTTATCTTCAACTTAGAAGCAAATATTTACATTCCAAAAACTAAGAACCCAAGGTCCTTCCCAAATTGAATTCAAGGATATTAAGATGATAAGATTCCCCCCACCTCTCTCAGAAGGGTTGGGAGACAGTTCTCCCTTTCTTCTGTAACCTAGATTTAGAAGTTCCCCAACTGCAGTGAAGACCAAGGTTGGAATGGCATCTAATTTTCATGGTGTCACGTGGAAGGGGGAAATTCCGGCATGGGGAACCAGTACAACCATTTTCTATCAGAAAAAATAAAATGCTTTTCTCCCTCTTCACAAATAATTATATTTGCATTCTGGATAGTATGAATAAAGTATTAAAAACTTTGAATCAGATCAGACTGGTTAAAATACAGATTCCAGGTTGACTCCTCTGCTGTCCTCCTCCAGTGCTAATTCATTGTCTGGGTGCCCAAGATCTGAATGGAAACAGCTGCACCAGATGATTCTTATCAGACTTGTCCATGGCCAATGGGTTAAAAAATGCTTCTTACAGACCAGTCTGCCTCTGCTAGCATGCTTTCTTGAGTTCACTCCTGTGTCTTATGACATAAGTATTTAGATTTAAGGATACTTTTTTTTTTAAGTTTAGACTTGAGGATGAATTTGATGTTTGACACATCTCTAGTTGATATTTATCTATTATCCTTGAAGACTTCCTACTCCCATTTTTTAAATACTCTATTTAAAACATCAGATCTTTTGAAATCTTCTATATGACCAACAATTTTGCTCACCCAACTGCTGATCTCAATGTTTTCCCAAAACCACATTGACTTCTCCATTATCTTTAGTTGTCATTCTTCTAATCACTTTATATTTGTATACTGCATTCCAATTTATAAAATGGTGTTTCAGTTATTGTCCCATTCGATTCTCACAGTATTTGGAAATAGCTAGAATTTTTAGGAGTTAAGCTATTTATGTCAATTTGAAATATATTTCAAAGTTTGTTTGAAATGAGATGTGAAAAGACTAAAATTCAGAATACATCTGAGACAGAAAGTTATCTAGCTATGGTGTTCAGCCTCTTTTAATTGAAGGAATCTGTTGTGATATTAACAGCTATCAGATAATAGACATTCCATGAAATAACATTTGGACATATTGAGGCAGACTCTCTTCTATGACGCATGTAAACTATTGTCTGTTCCTACTTTGGTTCCTGATAATTATTTTTCTCTTAACCAAAAGATAAATATAAATATGAAAGTAACTGCATTAAGGGTACTGTTTTCATACTGTGTTCCTTGAATGCCTTTAAATCCTTTAAATGTTAAAAAATAAACAGAAAATTTAATATTTTGATAGTTTTCAAAGCACTTTCACATATGCTATTTAATTCTTAACAACCACATATGAGAGACATAAAAGTACACCTTTCATAGATGAGCAAATGGAGACCAAAAGAATGCCCAAGGCCACATACTCAGGAGGTGCAAGGCCTTGGACCTCCAAGGGGGGTACAAGGACATCAAGTCTTGTCCTGCTCCTTTGAAGAAACACCAAGATGATGAAAAGCCAGTAGTGCTCAAAGTATCACAAGCCCTGAAGTGTTCAAATTATTTAAATGTATCATTTTCTAAAATGTTAGATACTTGAGAACACAAGTCCTGAGCAAGGCCAGAAGGGGGCTATTTGAGAGCTGCTGTGAGGCACTGATGTACCTACCAGGTAAAGGAGCTGCTGTGATGGCCGGCCCAAGAGCAGTGCCTGCAGGACCGCCTCCCTGGTCTTAGTTCATCCGCATGCACTTAGAGATTTATTTCAAAAAACTCATTTCAAAAAAATAGCAGTGCAAGAGCTTTGATTATTGTCATAGACTCCACTTAGATGCAAAAAAAAAAAAAAAAGTAACTATTAAGGTTAGTGTTACAGCCCAAAATTTTACTCTGCTGAGTAGAACAGTTTCTCAAGCAGTTACTACTGAAGCTATATTGAGAGTCCTTTCAAAATTTGCTTCAGGAAGCCTTTTGCCTTTCTTTGTCTAACATCCATTCTTTTCACAAAACAGGATCTTCAGAGGCAGGCTGGAAAACTGGAAAGCCAAGCCGCCCTCCGCAGCTCAGGCCTCCACCCGCTCCCCTTGCATGCCTTTCTCCTGGTTTAATGAAAGCCGGAAAGGATCCTATTCCTTCAGGAACCTGCCTTCACCTACAAGTCCCCTTCAGCCTCCTCCTGAGACTCTAATTTCAGATAAAACGGGGTCTAAGGTAGAAAACACATGGATTGAAAAAGCAAACAAGAAAAACCCAAACCCCTCCTCCTGTTCAGTCTTTGGAAGGCGTCCTCAACCTGTGTGTGCTCTGGATCCGAGGAACCGTGTGGTAACACAGCCACAAGCAACGTGTGGTGTTTCTTGTGTGAGGAAGAGAAAGCCTCACTTAACCATCACCTGCTTTAACACTGTTCCATTCTAGAGTGTACATTTCTCTTTGGTTTGCCTGTCTTTTCACGTACTGCTATTTAATCTGAGTTTGACAGTTAAGCCATGCTGGGAAAAGATACGTTCAAATCATGAAACAGTATGCTAGGTCTGTTTACTGAGTGATCTAAATTACATTATAAAACTATTTTGCTATGCTCCTCAAGATTTACTGGAAAACTGATAAATTCGGGACTGAATATGTGTTTGATACATCTGAGTGAAACTCCTTAAAACAAACCAGTGCTGACTTGGCACCATACTTCTTCCTCCTTTTCATATCAAATTTCCATGCTGAACAGCTGTTGTAATTTTGTCACCAGAGTTCTTTAACTTTCACAGAATTAGGAATTATATGCATGGGTGTGATTTGTTTTTAAATGCATGATGGTTATTTCCAGCATGACACTGCAAACCTTATCTAACATTTTATTGAAACACGTATATATATGGTGGCTAACTTTCACACGTCGTTTGGTCTCCTTTTTTCTATGTTCACCTTTCTTTCTCAAACAGATACGTGTAATTAATGTTACTTGAATTTAATTCTTTCCTTGAGGTTAACAGCTCAAAGGGTTTTGACTGGGGCCTGAGTTTGTGTCTCCATTGACAATACCAGATGGTGACGTTCTGTGTTAAAACACCCTGCTGCTTAAATGTTCTACTGACCGAGCTCCATGTGCTCTGATTTAAACTTCTTTTCTGAAGTTTTAGCAAATCTTGGAATTAGTTTGGCACTAAGTATCCTAGCCTCTGATGTAGTGTTTATTCTGGATAATCAACTTAACCCAATACAAGGGAACCTAATGGAAAACTAACAGTCCAAGTTCTAATGAAGTAGAACATGAAACTAGATGGTTGTTGGCCAAGCTGCATAGAGTTCCTGGGAATCGAGCCATTCTGCTCGCATTAGCAAAAGTTTTGACAGCAGTAGAGCATCTGGGCCTTTTACTATCGGATCTGAGGCATTTAAACGTTGTTTGAGTAATTCTACCACCATCATGTACTGAGGAAGTCTCCAGATTTGGTTTAAAATGTTTCCATGAATGCAGCTAGGTAGCCATTGTTAAGTTTCATTATAATATTCTCTGAACATGTTAATGATGTTCCAGGGAAGTCTTGTTTACATATTCTATCTCCCCAGCCCCAGCTGATTTCCAGCCCCAAGTATCTGTTCTKTGCCCAGCCTCTTTGGTTGTCTGCTGGTGCCATGAGAGTTTCATTCCAGCATGGAACATGCAGAGTGTTGTCAGACTGTGTCCTCCCCCAGAACTCATCATCTTGAAGGGTACCTCCAGGAGAGAATCTGCCACTTCTCACAGTATTTATCACAGACAGCCGCATGCGCTCCTTCCCAGGGGTGCTCCAGCTACCTTCCTGATAGGAATCACCATCTGTTCCTAATAACTCAGCCTCTCCACACCATCTTGTATTTTTACTTACACTGTTACTCATCACGATTAGGGTCAAAGAAGATAGGCTTATTAATATTACTCCTCTGAGCAGTAGCAGAGGATAATGAATTCTGTACCCTTGGAGAGAGATTGAAGAATCATCTCTCTAAAACACCTCTCCTTTCATCAGATGGAGAAAGCACCAGAATTCTCAATTAGGCACAAAAGACACAGCATTCTCAACCACTGGCCGGTTGAAGGTCATTACCAAACCCAGTATGAGTTTCTTCTGAGATGGCTTATAAAGAACCTCTGAGAACTTGGAAACACACCTGCCTCTGGTTCACTTGTTGTGCCCCTTTAACACTGAGCTTCCTTTGTTTTTCCAGAATTTTACCTTCAACGATGACTTCAGTCCCAGCAGTACCAGTTCCGCAGACCTGAGTGGCTTAGGAGCAGAACCCAAAACACCAGGGCTCTCTCAGTCCTTAGCACTGTCATCAGATGAGGTACTATAGTGACACTATGATCAGACAGTTGTCTCATAAAATATACTGGGAAAATGGTTTTTAGGATAAATTATTGCATAGAAACCAGCAGGATCGTGGCTTTGTATTTATGTAAAGTCTTCGTGATTTCTCTCCCTCTCTCTCATCAAGAGAGTACTGTGTTGTTTTCAGGGTCACTTACAGTGGGGAGGCTGGGACCTGGAGAGCAAAAACAGCTCCACTCCTATGGGGGTCACAAATTGTCCATTCCCTTTCTCCCTTGCCTCTACCATGGTCACACCAAAATTCTGCTGTTCCTTCTGGTGTGGATCCTGATGGAATCATTGCAATAGTTCTGACAAGGAAGGAAAATAGGGTGAGAACCACTTACTTAGAAGCAAGGGTCATGGTGAGCATTGCCAAGAATTATTAGGAGATAAATGTTTATAAGAGAGGCAGGAAATTACATTAAGGATTTGGTTCCCCAAAAGGGGTGGAGGTGGGCAGGCAGACACAAGGTAAGTAAAGATATTTTTGCTCTTATTTAAATATTCATGCTTATTTCTTTCTAACATGATTTTTGTTTTGTAAAACTTCTGTTCCCTGTAAACTTTTCTGCCTGTATTCTTCAAGCCTGGCATGATTTTAAGTTTATTAAAACTGTGTACTGTTGATGTTTTATGTCCTGTTTCTATAACCCTTTTCTTCTTGATTCCTTTGTTGCCCCTCACTCAGAGCCTGGATATGATAGATGACGAGGTGAGCTGTCAGTGGGCTGTGTGGTGCCTTATGTGGTAGTGTTTGAACCTGCTTTTTTATCCTTATGAATTATTTAAATCAAACAATACAAGAACAATTTCCTCCATAGTAGAGAGTTTCCTTGTCTTAAATAGCTTAGTTCCCTGCCCTTGTCTATATCTTAGCCAAAAGATGTTCCTGAATCAAGAGGTTCTAATTCCCACCTCCAAGTCCCTCTATGTATCTCCCAGCCCCATTACCTTGACTCCTTTCATTCTTTAACATCTCCTTTGCCTTCATCTCAGCTTACCCCATTCCCTCCTCTGTGTTCCTCATGTGGGTCACCAAGGTGACTCCTGTCTTTCCTCTGAAGCCTTCCATTGCCTTCATCTCCTCTCAGCTTAGCAGTTGTAGGAAGCAATCTGCCCCTTTGCACTATGAAAAGCAATATTATACAGAGCCTATATTTTTTTAACAAACCGGTTACTGTTGTGCTCTGCTCCTTACTGTGTTATCTGGGACAAATCATAAAGACTTTCTGAGCCTCAGTTTCCTCGTGTATTGAAAGTAATTGTGGATATTACCTGCCCCACCTTCCTCTCAAGTCTGCTTGCTGCTCAGTGAAATAATAGTTGGAAAGTTTCCCATAAGAAAGCTTGAGGGGTTAATGCTCTCCTCTTCCAAGTGAAAGATACCTCAATATTTTAAATGTGTTTTTATAAAACTTTAATGTCTTATCAAAGGATAAACGCAGAGTGATGAATTGCATGTAGAGATTTATGAAATATTTGTTTTCTACATCTGCTATTTCCAGAGTGTTTTGATATAAAAGCTTGCAACATTAGAGTGTATTTTTTTTCAATATTAAACTTCCTACATTAATAATGTGCTTTATTTGGGGGAATTTTTTTAAATTTCCATAGACCTAAAACCACATAAGTAAAGCATATTTCTTTTTAACAATATTAGAAACATTATCATTTTGTGGTTTAAAAATAAATGTGGCTCTAGCAGGTTAAGAAATTCCTTTTGATAGCATAATAGGAACCATAGCATTTTGGTCCTTTAACAACACTGCAACATTCCTATCTCAGATCCTTGATGATGGACAGTCTCCCAAACACAGTCAGTATCAGAGTCGGGCCGTTCATGAATGGAGTGTGCAGCAGGTTTCTCACTGGTTAATGAGCCTAAATCTGGAGCAGTATGTCTCTGAATTCAGTGCCCAAAACATCACTGGAGAGCAGCTCCTGCAGTTGGATGGAAATAAACTTAAGGTAAAGAATTATTTGTCTGTGTTAGGTTACCAGGTATGATTTGTACTACTTGTAGCACCTAAAATGTTTTCATTAGCCCAGAGCCTTCTGCATATTGGAGAGACAATTTCCCTCAACAGTCAGTAGAAAGGATGATGAATTATTTCTGAGTTGGAAACAAAGTTTCAGAAAGTCCATCATGGGTTCTGAAATGAGTGGTAGGCTGCTCAGGAGTGCTAGGGACCCACTCCATTGCTTCACGTGGCAACACATGGCCCATTTATTAACTCTGCTTACTTCCTATGTAGTATGAGTTTTAATAATGGCCACTGTGGACTTTCATCATATTGAAGTTAAGACACTGATCCATGAATCTTCTTCTCCTTGTTCATTTCTCCTCCACACTCCCTCTTCCCTACATGACACTCTAAAACTGGGATAATGTTCTCCCCAGAACTTTCTTCCTTAAATATATGCAGGCTGTGTCTTCCCTCCACCTGGATCACACTCTCTTTTCCACTAGGAGTCTGGTCCATCTCAGAGACTGAGGTGGCACCCACTCCTGTGGAAAAAGGGCAAAAAGAGCATACAACCAGCTCCATACACCCTCTGCCCACTGTCCCAGCCCCCTGCTAGGCTGACCAATAGATGAGTAGCTCTTGACAATCTTGAAAAGGTTAGAGATCAATCAATAGCTTGTGAATATGAAGGCCCCCTTGACAAGGCTGTCCCTGTTGGGGAGATGGATGCATCCTGCTGTTGATGCTGAAGGTCATGAAACATTTAAAGTATGCAACCAACTCCCCTTATTCTGAATTCTAGGCTTACCGAGCAACCTCATTACAATCAGGCTTCCCTTGCAGGTCTGCCCACGGTGAGAGAATGGCTGGTTATGCTGATATGAGCATTCTGGCCCCAAAGACATTTTTGGTTTTCCTTGTAAATGACTACACTGGCAGAAAGGAAACCATTTCAGTTTTCTCTGTCTTTCTTGGAGCCCTCTGTGACAGCTGGTGCCCATGTTTACCCTTTGAAATACTTTAGCAATACTTTTGCCTATAAATGTTTATAGCACAAAGGTTGGAGAAGAAGGATTGTATCTTTTTTTCATTTATTCACTCATTAAAAACCAATTGGAAAGCATTTTCTTAATGAGCTTTCGGGTGTACTTTGCAAGGGACTTCATAGAATAAAAGAACAACAACAACAAAAAACACAAACCCCCAATGTACACAAACTTTGAATAAATAATATCAACTCTGACCTCTTCTATCCATGTTTCAATTACAAGTTTGAACATATTGTGATGTCATTTCTCATAAGAAGCAGAGCAGCCATCAGTTTTCCCATTCAGTTTGTGCACGTGTTTCCTCTGCAGGCTCTTGGAATGGCATCATCGCAGGATCGAGCTGTGGTTAAAAAAAAACTGAAGGAAATGAAGATGTCTCTAGAGAAGGCTCGGAAGGCCCAAGAGAAAATGGAAAAACAAAGAGAAAAGCTGAGGAGGAAGGAACAAGAGCAGATGCAGAGGAAGTCCAAAAAGTCGGAAAAAATGACATCAACCACAACAGACGGCCCTGGTGAACAGTAGCACACCCTCCAGAGGGTGAGAAGGCTCAAGAGAAGGCTCCCCTCTTCCTGCCCTGTTCTCCTCCAGAAAAAGAAACTGGTGATAGGGTAATGCTGCTGTAGACAGACTGAGGAACCSTGTGTTGAATGACTGCATTTTCTGCAATAATAGAATGCACTCCTAATTTTAACCCCTGAAAGAACCCCAAACCATCTTTGGTTTGTTAACAAACCAGAGATCTCATTTGGGAGAGACACAAAGTAGTTGTGTTGCTCTCCTGTCCTACTTACCAACATCCTGTGTTGTGTTGGGCGTGTTGTGTCATGTGGAAAACCAGCATGACCCTGCCACAAGAACAGGACACCCCCCTGGTGTTCATGTAGCACTTGGAATTTTCAGTGTAGGATCCTGAAACTAGGCCCTTGCACGTATTTGTGTGGCAGAGAGCACCCTGCCAATGAGATCTGGGGCACATATTTGCTTCTAGGGTGCAGAGTCCAGTCTGGTGTGTGGGAAGAGCTCTCCCTTGGTCCTGGGTCTGGGCAGAGAACAGCACCATTGTGGAAGCATGGGTGTTGTGCCACATAATTTTGTCCTAAGGGAARGAGCAAGCACACAGTCCTGCTTGCTGGGCATCAGAAAAAGTGAAGAGAATCATAGTTATTCGTTAACTGTAGAAGAGAATAAAAGCCTTAAGAATGTGGATGTGGGTATACCTTGGGGTTTGAAGGTAACATTTATCCTCCAGATGTTGCTGAACAATGAAGAAAAAAGTCAAACTTTAATGTAGCCTTGGGATGTTGGGATATGTTGTTTACTTTGCTACCACTGTAGGTTCAGTATTTCAGCAACACTGGCAAACACAACACAGTTCCTTTGTCCCCCACACACAACAAATTGAACAGGAAATTGATTTTTAAGGAAACCAACATTTTCAGGTTTCCTCTCCTGGGGAACATTCTGGCTGGTCTTCAGCCTGCCTATGACAGAGTCAGGAAYTCGTCACATATTTTCTACTCAGAATTTCCCAAGTGGGCTCAGTTAGTGTTTTAACAAACTCACTTTTAAGGAAAATAGAAATATCAGTTAGAGAAAATTTAGATTTGAGTAACATTCAACCAGAGAACCAAWTTTTTTGAGCACACAGAACGTTCCTATAAAACAGAGCTGTCAGTTAGTTACATTTTAGAGATATTTTGAATGGTTTTTCTGAGCCATTCTCTACCATACTCCAGAGATTTCCACTTTACAGTTGAAGTTTGTTTAAGGCAGTACATAGGATACACTTTGGTAGTGGAAGAACTTATGCTTATTTTAAAGCCAGTATTAAGGACTTCAGTATTTCACCAAACTTAGTTGAGTGTAGGAGACTAGGGCAGAAAGAGGAGAAGATAAACTAATCGAGAAATTTCCAATGATGAGGGGTTTTTTTGTATTTTGTTTTGCTTTTTATGCTTATGTATCTTGTTCTCTTTGCTGCTTTGGCTCCAAAAATGAGGTCATCCACTTTCCAATGGACAACTTTCAAAGTACAACTTGAGGCCAGATAAATTTCAGATAAGTATTTTACCTCTTTTGTGACACTGGGTCTTGCTCTGTCCTCAGCGTTGTCCATGCTGAAGTGTTGTACACGCAGAGCACAGGAGATGGCTCTTGAGTATTACAGTAACAGTGTAAGGGGACTCCTGCCGTATAGCCCCACCTAATATTGTTAACATTGTGAGATTTAACTTTTATTATTTTTAATATCCAAGTTCTGAAATTGTCTGAACTAGAAATGTATTGTCTTATTCTTTCCTCAAGGTCTGATTCCTTTTCTGCCACAGTATGGTCTGGTCTGCTAAGCTTCAGTGATTTTGTCACCAGGTACAGATCATACATTCACTCCTCAGAAACACTGATGTATAGCAGCTTTTACAGTTAGGAGAGGCACTATTAGGTTTTTCTGTCTATCTTCATTTGGGATATGATAATGAAACTGCCATACTCAATACTTATTAATATCTAGAAATGTCTGGTGCTTCCTATTATTAACATCACAAGAAACCAGGAGCAACTATTAATGAACTACAAAATTCAGCAAATCTTTCCTCATACTTCTAGAAGATTAAATTAGTAAAAATCTGGTAATGCTTGTGCTTGCTATTGTAAATTTTTGCCATTTTCGCTTTCTTTGAAGAAAAAGTAACCTGGATCACACTGGAGGTTTCACTGTATTCAAGAGTGGTATGATTATTTTAAGTTATGTTTACACTTCAGTAATATTTGAAAATGAATGTAYATATTGAAATGTCTATAAGTCTCTGTCTTTGCCCATAATTTATGATCTATTATATTGTATTTTCTTAAGTGTCTTAGAAGTATTGTTCTTTATTATAACTTTATTTGCATACTTCAGTGTTTAGATCAAAGTCATACTGATAATGTTAAAAATCAAATTCTTGTTCCTCAAATCATTTAGTGTATATTATAACCATTTTGATTTTTTAAGTTTAATTGTAGGAATTTTAGGTCTAAATGCATTATTTTAATGTTACTACTTAAAACTGCTAAAATTGTAAAAGGGACTTGATTTGATTGCCCAACAATGAAATATAAACTGATTGATACAAGGGTATGAAAACAAAGTGAAGGACCTCAGATCTTGTGAGCATTTTGTTKTACTATTATTTTTTGACTATAGTGCATGGTGATTAATTGAGGTTCTGGTGTCTTGCACAATCCTCCTTTAATGCTAGTACTTTTCAGTGTTCATACACTTTAACACAAAATTGTTATTTCATGAACCTTAAAGACTTTGCAGTTTTTTTTCCTTATCAGAAAATGAACAAAAAGGGATTATCTGGTTACCGTGTACTATATTTTAGTAAGGGACAGCTCAGTATGACTCTAACTATAGCCAGAAGTGTTTTGGGGTATGGGTGATGTTTTGGAGGGAGGGGGTATAAATAGTGAGCCTAAGCAGTAGGTAACACTATGGGAGCTGGATCAGGATTTCCACTAAAGAACTTTTAAACAGGTTACTGTGCTTAAGACCATTTCCCTTAAAGTAACTCACAGTTATGGGATACTTCTCTTGTTCTCCATCCCTTCAGTGCCCCCCCCCACACACACACACACACAATGAATCAGAAGTGTCTTTCTGTATTCAGGTAGGCCAGAAACCTGTCCCCACCTGCCAACATCACACAGCCTCTGTAACCACAGCAGTCAATAGTTGCAGTATGATAGGTGCTAATGCCAAACTCAGCTTTCAGTTGGCACAGAGTGGGTACATCCACCTTGTGCTCCTTTGTTATTGGGAACAAGGTAGCAGGAGGAAAAGTGAGAACCAAATTAGCCCTTCCCACTGCCTGTGCCTCTATAGTCATTTAACCTGAAATCCCCAAATACCTCAGGCCCAACCTAGGAGACCTCCACAGGTCATTTGATCTGGCAACTCACCCCATGTCTTTCCCTGAGGACAAAGAATTCTCACTGAAGTTCTTTGTGTAATAGGATTAACATATGCTTATAGTTTACATTGTAAACAACAACAACAACAAAAAGGTAAATTAAATGTGCATTTTTATAGATGTGCTAATTCATTTATAAGTGTGGAAGATTAGACTAAGCTTCAAGAGGATATTCAGTGTTTAACAATAATATTCAAGAAGATTCTGGAGGAAGGAGTCCCAACAAATATAAGAGAAACATCTGCACTTTGAAWGTGTCACAGCCCTCTCATTACACTGAGATATTTAAGAATTTTCAAATGCCACTTGTCATTAAAGGTACTCCCAACACAGCTGGAGTAGAGGGGCACTTCATTTTGGTGGACAGTGGTCACAGAGCTTTGTGGCACCTGCTTTAATGCAAAGGGTTCATTGTTCTCTGAAGAAAAAAGGAAGATGGAAATGAAAAGCTCAGCTTTCCATATTTTCTAGTTCGCCTCTTTAACCTGTGCACAGTTATAAAGCTAAGCCATTAAGGATAAAGTCCATCAGTAAAATGTCCATGTCTTCTACCAGAACTCTTCTCATGACGGTAGGACAGGGGAGGGTACATTCTCCAAAGAAAGTAATGTTATGGGAAATTTGAATGTGCTCRGTGATTCACTCCTGAAAACCAGCCTGGGTATGCTAGCAGATTTTGTTTGCATTTGTCTTGAGTATTTAAAGTCTCAGGAAATTTAGTCTTGATCCAAACACTGGGGAAAAATTAACACCAAACAACACATTTTCATAACTTGAAGAAGCAGCGTAGAATAGGCCTGACTGAGAAGCTGGAGAGAAAAGAAAAAACCTAAAGAATAAATTTTCCCCAAGAAGTGAAAACAAGATCTATTTATGGTAGACAGAGGGTCTGACAATAAACTGTGGGTTTATTGAGAGAATGGTTTTAACTTGAGGGTTCACATATGTGAGCAGCATAAACCAAGCACCACTGTAACCTGTCTCCAGATCCTCAGAGTTAGGGAGGAACAAAACAGGATGCTTTCCAATCCTTGGCCCTACCCAACCCCAAAGCACTAGGGATTCAGCAGTATTTATGAGATAAGGAAAAGAGAACAATAGACTACTCCACAACATGCATGCCACTGCGTAGGTATTCAGAACTACATCTGTGTGAATCTATCTTCCACCATACCCATATATATGCAGCAATTACAAGGCGTAAAAAATACTGTATGTGGAACTTGGTAATGCCAGTTAGGAGCTTTAATCAGAGCCTTATTGCCACTTTTTGCTTATCTATACATTGAATGGCTCATAGATTTAAGAGGGTTTTTATTTTAATGTAGGTATTCCTACTAAATGCACTTACCTTTCTCTGTGTTTATATATTTTGATAAAATTGATTTATTAAATATTTAGTATTTTAGTAAGCTAAAATCTTCTCAAATGTTTGGTTAATGCTTTGGTGTGGAGACTGCACTTTTTTCTTTTTCTTTTTTCTTTTTTTTTTTTTTTTGTATTAGAGCTCAGAAGACATTTATGTAGCTTTGGGCATTTTCAACGGCAGACTACAGTTTTCTTGGCTAAAAGTTGCACTGTGTGTTCTTGTGCATTGGCTCACACTTCCAAAATGACATAATCAGTAGCTTTAGTCACTAACTACTGGCTCTCTGATGGCAGTGTTGCCCTCACATGACCATTTATTGACTTCTTGTGCCAAGTAATGGCATTTTGGTCATCTCGTGCTGATAATGGCATTTTGATTGTCACCAAAAATAATGCAGGTGGTTGTGAATATATATTGTTGGAAGGTGTACATGTCTGTTTCTTTCAGCTCTTTTATTCATACATCCAGGTTTTCTATTAAGGATGTGATCAGTCGACTGTTCATGAAAGAACAATTGGCCAGAGATAATTAAAAGWGGGAAGAAGCACTCCAGCTAGATGACACCTCCCAACAACATCAAACTGAGTTAGTGCTTGGTGAAATTCCTTACATATATATGCAGATGCTTCCTTCATTATTATTTGATGTCACAACTACTGCTCTTGTATTTTTAATGGTGTTGCAGTCAAACCACTAATACACCTGCTACATATTACAAAACTGGGCAGCTGAAAAATGAAAGATAATAAAGTCTGTTCTCCTGTAAGAATTTGATTCATTTTCATCTTTCTTTATATATCAATAAGAAAAAGTTGTTTGAAAATAATTTTGAGTCCAGCAAGTGTGAGTAGCATGTTACCTGAAACTTTTAATTTGTACATTTTGATGTCGATTCATTTATTTGCATGGAAGAGACAATAGTGCCATGTCTGAATTGTTCTCTTGTGCTTGGTTAATATGTACTGTTTCAAATGACATTCCTTACTCTTTGGTTTTCAGAGGCATTCAAAGCAAAATATAACAGTGGTCCTTTGTTTTCTGACCAATCTAAAAATACCTGTGTTCAATTTAATTTGTTAGTGTAAATAAATTTCTTGCCAATGAGTATTATTGTTGGTAAACAACGAATGCAATAAAAAGAAATACTGAGATCGGTCGCATAATTTTTTTCTTCTTCTTCCATTTTCACCTTCGACTAAAACAAGCCTTGACTGRGTAAACCTGTATTAACTGTCAAAACACATCTATCAATCAAGAGCAAAGTGCACATTTTTCATGGAAATGAAACTAAAAATAAGGTTTAACTCTGGTAAAGTGTAAATTGGCAGCTAGAATTACATTTGAAAGCCCAATTATGGAACTGGGCATAAAGTTAAAAGAGTGAAGCCTCCAGTCAAAGCTCCCTCGCCCATCTTCCTGTTCCCCTGTCACGGCTTCACCATCAAGGTTTCTGATACGCCTCAGCCATAGAAAGGTCTGTGACAATCCATTAACCAGTCAGCCGCACACAGCAAGGAGCACACTAAGCAGGAATGAGCCTGTCCTAAGTACAGGGTGATTTTAAAGTTCACTTCCAAGACCAAGATTCAGGAGACTGGGCTGTAACAAATGAAGAATATTAAAGTCATTCTTTCTCCTGCATATAACCTATGCAGAACTAAACCTTTGGCAGTACAAATATTTAGATGTGGGCATCACAGAACAAATGAGAATTAGGCAGTTTTCCTCTTTCTATGAGTGTGTGTTAAACCCCTAACCAAGGGGTGTCCCTTTCTGAACTTGAATCTATGCTATGTGATGTTTGRTAGTTTTTTTTTTTTTTTGGCAGAATCTTCTTATCCCATCAATAATAAAAAAGAACAGAATATGGTTATTTTATTGAAGATGCATGGAGGCTAGGTAAGAGATTCTTTTTGAAGGAAATATGTGAGGTTTTTATTTACTTATTTTTTTCCTAAGCATCACTTGTTGACTGTGACAAGCAGTACTTCCTGGGTTGTGAATAGATGGTATCACTGAGTAACTGAGCACTCATAAGGCACTTGGTGTTATGCTCCCTGAAATGGTGGCCAAAATAATGTGAATCCTGATGAAAGTTTTTTGTTTTGATCAAAACAAAAATATTTTTTTATTAAATTAGAGGATCAATGGTTTCAAACTGTTGGCAATTCTCAACTTATTGGCAAAACATTTTTCCCAAAATGCTGGACCAAAATCACAACACCAACAATAGGACAAGTGCCTTAAAAATACTTTAAGTGACTGCCTTAATGTCCCAGAGAAAGAATCTGGCCTGAAAGTCCTATCTTCAAAACAGACAAACAAATGAGGTGTGTTAACCTTTTTATGTTGGCATTCACAACAAAATGATAAAGTCACGTTTTATTCCTAGCCATGTCCTTGGATGATGACAAAAAGTGGTGGTTGATCTTTCCTGATTTTTGTTTGTTTACCTTTTCCTTTTTTTTTTTTTTCGTTCTCA